GGCAGAGAGGCAGGCAGAGAGAGAGGCTGAGCAGAGAGCCCGATGGCAGGACTCAATCCCAGGACCCTGAGATTAGGACCTGAGCCGAAGGCAGCGGCCCAACCCACTGAGCCACCAGGCGCCCCCTTGTTTTATGTTTTTGATGTGATATTCTTATTTTGTGCTTTCATTAACTAGCTATTACAGATAGAACTGATTGTAGTATGGTTGTCCTCTTCTACCTATCTTGTTGCTGTCCCCTGTTGTGGAGGCTCTGTTGACCTAATTTCTAGGCACCCTTCACAGGGAATTATTCCCTATACAGTCGCAGATTTGTTGTGTCTATGGGAGGAGGTGAGATCAGGATCTTCCTACACTGCCACCTCCCAGTTTTATTTATTTATTTATTTATTGGTTTGCTTTGTAGGGAACTTCAAAGAATAATGGGATGGAGGTAGTTTAGAATAGGGAGAACCTGAACTCTTTTCTCATTTCATTTCTACCCAAATCTCCCCTCTCATTCTCCAATCAGCCAGGCAGTACCCACTTGACTCATGAGAGAGATTTGGATTTTCAAAAGAGAATAGAGATAAGTAAGATGAATCCCTCATTAGAAGCTCACTATTTGTCTATCACTAAAGCTCATTTATGATTTCAGTTAAGGTTTCTGATTTTTCTATAATTTGGCAGTTTAAAAAAAATCCCTAGTCAATGTGTAATTTTTTCCATATAAATATTTGTATGCCTCATTCATGATTAAACTGTTTTGTAAAATTTAGACCAGTAATTCCCACTCTTATACCTGTCTGATAATTAGATTAGCTGCAAAGTTTCTATCAATACATATTTCTGGACCTCAACCATGGGGATTTTAATTTAGCTCATTAAGTATGTCTAGGATTGGGGAGAATTAGGCCAAATGAATGTGCATAGGTAAGGTGGTAAGAAGAGATATAAGAAGAATGTGATGTGAAGCTGGAGGATGGCAGTGAGGTGTCTAAAAGGCAAGGAATGCCAGAGATAGCTGGCAAACAGCCAAACAGTAGAAAGAGGCAAGGAAGGAAATCTACAGATTTCAGAGGGAACATAGCTCTGCTGACACCTTGACTTCAGACCTCTAACATTTAGAACTGTGAGACAATAAATGTTTACCGTTTTAAGCCACCCAATTTTTGGTACTTTGTTACAGCAGCCCTAGCAAACTAATACACCAGTAGATATGACTGTTCATAATACAATTTACCACTGAATCCTTAAAATGTAGTTTGGTTTTTAAAAACAAGCTTAATTAGTCAAAGGCAAAACGGAGGCAACCATCAGAAAATCTCCCCCTCTTTAGCAGTCTGCCCTCTTTAGCAGTCTGGTGAAGCCTATGGAACCTTTTTCAGAATAATACTTTGAAATTTATAAAATAAAAAAAAAACATTGGATTATGAATGAATTCCATTACACTGAAGTGGTCAGAATTTAAGAAACATCAATTTGCGATGTAGTGACATCATTCTTCATTATCAATACATTAACAATAAGATTTAGAAGTCTATTAGTGATGAGAACAAATGGTATTTTCAGGTAACTATAGTATGACATGACAATATTTGTGACAAAGTCACAGGTACTGCTAATGCTAAGGCAGTGTCGTTCTTAGACTCATGATTTAGAGAAATGCTAAATTTCAGGTAGAGATTAGTAAACATAGATATGTAATTTATTCCCAGCCATGTCTAAGGACCCTCTGAATTCTATCTGTGGAGCATTTGGTGTTGGGTAGGTCTCAGGTAAAACACTTTTGAAGAGGAAAGACTGTCATGAAATTGTTTCTATTTTCCATTTTGATAGAGTTGGCCTAAATGACTGTGTGATAGTTGTGTGGGTGCCACTCAGTATCTCCTTCCTTGTGTGTCTCCCTGGACTGCAAAGGAAAGCTAAAGACCACAGGTTAGATTCCCTTGCAGCTACAAAGTTCAAACCGTGATTTAGGTTCAATCAATCAGCTTTTACATAAGATCTGAAAGAAGGAAGTGAAGTAGAAGCTATATGCATACTGGCAAGCCTAGTATGTAGTTGCAGTTGCGTTTTTGCCCCAATCTTACTACTGTCTCAGTGCCTACCATTAGATTAATGGGTGCCAAGAGGCAGGGTCCTGGTACATTTAGTTGGCATGCCTCCCAGTAAACATGGCATGGTTCTGGACCTGGCAGCAAAAGTAGCATCCAGATCAAGGCAATTTCTGCATTGTGGGATTGGCAGTGGTGGTTTCTGATCACAGGAGAGACGGCAACTCCCTAAGTGCTTGGGTTTGGCTGTGTGGCTTGGAAGTCATTACTGACAACTCAAAATGAAGTCTGTTTCCTCAATCCTTTCTATACTCATGCAATCAACTTACTGCCCTGAAATATATCCCTTCTTGCTTTAACTAGCTAGAATCAATTCTGTTATCTGTAACTGAACTCCGACCCATACAGAATACAATTTATATTCCCTTCTATAAAAGACTCATTTCCTCAAGAACTCCTTCTGACAGATGAGTTGCTTTCCATTCTTTACCAAAGAGTAAACTTTCAACTTCAAACACTGGGGGCGGGGGACGGACACGGGACTGTCCATTGTTCTTTGACCAAAGATAAACATACTCAAATTTATATCACAAAAAGCATAACAGGGTCACCTGGGTGGCTCAGTGGGTTAAGCCTCTGCCTTTGGCTCAGGTCATGATGGAGGCCTAATCAGGCTCTCTGCTCAGCAGGGAGCCTGCTTACGCTCTCTCTCTGCCTACTTGTTATCTCTGTCCGTCAAATAAATAAATAAAATCTTAAAAAAAAAACAGAAAATACAAAGAATAGTCTAGAATCTGTTCCAGTTCAGTTAGTTATAATCACTTCATAAAGAAGTCAATTATTGCCTGATAGAGTAAAAACACTGGATTGCTAAAACAAAATATGCATAAATTATTAGCTATTTCTCCAAAAATATACATAACTTGGCCTGCTTGGTATAACATTTGAGAATTAAGGCAGTTCTATTCCTATGTGAAAGGAATTTAATATTTAACCCTCAGGGTAAGCCAGGTGCTATGTTAGATTGGTATCCTACCTAGTCAGGAGGTATCACAATGAGGGAATTAGTTGCTCTATTATTCCAGAGGCCAGTTACAGTAAAGTTTTATTAACAAAATGAACTTGACTGAAAACTACCTCAAGACTTCAGCAAAATGAAATGGATAAACAGAGCATGAAAATGAATTGGTGTGCCAAAGGTCTGGAGGTCTTAATTATGCTATTCCAGTGAGACTTCCTGGATTGGATTAGTTATCTTTTTTTTTTTCCCTGTGATATACACACATACACAAAACAGGAAAAAATATATATTAACATAATTAACGAGTATTAATACTATTAAATAAATATATATGTATGTGTGTGTAATAAATAAATATATATATATGTATATATATACACACATATATGTGTGTGTGTGTGTGTGTGTGTGTATTTTTTTTTCCCCCTCCATTGCAATTCTGGGAGAGAGGGAAGGTACTCTTCTGGAAGTTAGAACTTTAATTAATTAATTTGTAAAAGATTTTATTTCTATGAGAAGAAGAGGGAGACAGAGTGTGAGAATGAGCAGTGGGGAGCCACAGGCAGAGGGAGAAGCTGACTCTCAGCTTAGCATCCCACTCTTAGCCCCGATTTGGGGCTGGGTCCCAAGACCCTGGGATCCTGACCTATGACTTTAGCCCAAGGCAAACGCTTAACCCACTGAGCCCTGCAGGTGCCCCGGAAGTTAGAAATTTAAATACAGAGAATGAACTTGTGTTGTTTTTAATGAATTTTAACCATTATATAAGAAACCTGAGTATGACTTTGTATCTAATCTCTCTGAACATATTTAAGTCTCAGGAAGGTGAGCCTGCACTTACATTAGGAGAATAACTCACTTTATCAAAACCCATTTAGCGAAGCCCCACACATTTCTTAGCCATGTGCAATTCCTTTACCAAACAGAGAAAAGATACTTAAAATGTAATCGGAGCACTGAAACCAAGCATAAGAAATGTAGCTCTAGAGACCCAACACTATTTTCCAGTGGTTCAAGCCCTTTTCGTTAATAAAGTCTGAAACTCCAAGGTGACTGTGCCGCCGCACTTCGGTTTGTCACCTTTTAAAATGAAGAAAAAAAAATCTTCGAACTATTACATATGTTCATTATCTTTAACACCCGGAAACAGCTCTAGAACAGCAACTTTGTGAACTTTAGGTTAAAACTACCTTTATGTGGGTGATTTTGACCGCAACGTGGCTTTAACAACAACAACAACAACAACATTAAACTCTGTAAGATGCGTTTTTAGAAAACCCTATCTGGGCCCTTTGCAGCCGGCCAGGAATCAAGGCCCTCCTCGGGTTTCTCCGGCTCACTGACGCGGCCCGGACGGTGGAGAACCGCCCGAACCCGCACGAAGGCGCGGCCGCTGTCTCCCCTGCGTCCATGTTGCCCGTCGGAGGGAGAAGACTGCAAACAAAGCCCGGATCTCCAGGAAAGGTGCTCCGGGCCCACGACACCCACGGACCACAGCCAGAAGAGGCGCTAGGGCCGGGGTGTGGCGGCCAGCAAAGCAGAACTTCAGGCGGTTTCCCACACGCCCGCGGAGACCCAGCGACTTTTCCGAAGCCTCGAGGTTCGGGCTCGCCACAGCCTGCCCAGCCCTTCCCCACCTCGGGGCACAAAGAAGGAGCGCCCGGCGCCGGGCTCCGCTCAGGCGCAGGCGGACAGGTCAGGGCGCGAGCCCGGCGCCCGCCCGCGCCCGCGCCCGCGCCCTCGCCCGCCCGGGGCGCCGCGTCCCCGCTGCCGGCACTTACCAGGAGAAGCAGCGCGGCGCCCTCCGCACTCCGCGCCATCGCGCCCCCGCCTCCGCCGCGCCCTCGCCTCGGGCCGCTCGCCCCGCTCTCACCACCGGCTCCCCCGCGTCCCCGCCAGCGCGCCCTCGGCCCCGCCCCGAAGCACCCGCCCCGAGGGCCGCTCTCCGCGGCCGCCGCGCCGCCCTACCCAGGGGCGCGGTGCCAGGTGCGGCCGCCGCGAGGAAGATGGAACCGTGAGCCCGCCCGAGCTGCAGGCGCCCGAGGTGGGAATTCCTTAGAGGAGGGAGGCGCGCGGTGGACTCCCGCCCCTCGTCGCACACGCACCTGGGACCGTGACGTCCCTGGGCTGGGGACTTTGGGTGGCAGGTCCCGCCCCGCCGTCCTGTCCCTCTCGGTCCCTTCCTCTCAGGAGAGTGGCCGGGACTTAGGGAGGCTCTGGGTCACCTGGTGGGACTCGGCCTGAGCAGCCCCAGAGCAGCGCGGGCCACGCGACCCCGGCCCCGGCCCAAGGGCAAAGCCGGCTCTCGGCAGCCAGACCTTTGGTGTCCAGCGAGCGCCCCCGTCCGCCCGAGGCTGCTCAGGAGTCCAGCGCTTTGTGAAAGTGCTCCGGGCCCGGAGCTCAGGTGGCGCCAAGGAGACGTGGCTCGGGCACCTGTGTCCTCACTGCAGGCAGGGGAGCCTGGGCCTGCTTTCAGAGAGCTCGGGTTCTGGAGCAGTATTTAGGTGGCTGGCTCCGTGAAGGCTTCTCGGTTCTTCCCAATGCCCTTTCATTGGTTTCAACAGGTTTGCAGTTTATCTGGTTAAGAGAGAAACAGAAAAATCACAGGTGATCTAAAGGGACAGTCCTTTGACTCCTTGTTAACTAGACACAGGTAGGAGAATATTCTAGAGGTGTTAAGGGGAAGATAGACTTCGATATGTTTTACAAAATCTCTTACACAAAAAATAACTAGAGGTCAGAATCCTTGCTGCAGTAGTTACTAGCCGTGTGACCTGGACAACCTTTCTGTGCCTTAGTTCCAGATCTGTTTAATGGGATTAATAATAGCACCCAACACGGAAACTGTTGTGAAGATTAAATCAGAAAATCCATGGGAAGCCTTCTGCGGTGTTTAGTACATCAGGTTCAATAAATGTAGTTTTTAGTAATATAATTGATAGTGTAAATGTTAAGTTGAACTCTTCTTAATTAAACAGAGACAACGGAATCAGCACCAGGCTAGGAAACGTCTAAGAAAGGTTAACTATTGCTGTTGGCGTAGTGGAAGAGCCTATAAATGTATAAAGGATGTGGTATGCTGCTAGAAAGAGAAGTTTGGCATTCAGTTTGAACACAATAGCAGAGTTCCTTCTGTGGTCAAAAGTGCCCTCCTGTTTCTCTCCCAGTTTATCCTACCCTTTTCTCCCCAGCCCTATCTTGCCAGTTTTTCAGGTCCAGTAGATTTGGCATCTCCTCTTTATTCCCTTTCTTCCCTAGCTGCCAAGGACCACTCCGTCTTTGAATGGAGAAAACCATACTCTCCTCTGTTTGGTTAGGGCTTAACTGCTGAGTGACTTCTCTCATAGTATTATTTAAGTGTTAGTGACTAAGTTAGCAGAGGACTAACTTTCTAGGAAAAGTGTGTTTAGTTTTCCACTGTGTTTCCAGTGCCTAGAACAGTGCTGAGTACCAGGGAGACTCTTAAGCATTGGGTGCATAATTAAATCAGGAGAGAAGTATGTCTTCTAGTTTCCATTCCTTTCTCTTGAGCTAGATGTGGGTGGTAGCACGTTGGTGATAATTCTCATTCCCCATCACTCTGGGAAAACTCCTAAATAAACAAGGCAGGCTTTACCAAAACACTTTCACAAATCAACCCTGGAGACTGTATATAAATCCTACCTAAAATTAGTGCTCTTGTACCTGAGTCCTATGGGCAAGTATTTATGCCTCATTATTGAGAGTTTGGTTTCTGTTTAGTAATGAACAGAACTGTAGCTTCCAGAATAAGAAATAGCTAAAGCAAATTTTATTTCTGTTGGATTGTTCAGCTCCCTCAGAGGCTGACAAAGTCAGTTTCAATATTGTATTCTTTTATAAGACATTTACTCCAAGGCTTTGAGAGAAGGTGTGAATACATGTATTACCCAGTACCATTGTATGTCATTCTTAAAATCATTCCCCTTTAAAAATTCTGAAACTTATGACTCATTGAGTTAAAGGCAGTTGTTCAGAGTCAAACACAGCTAGTACTCTAGCTCCTGACTTCTTTCTCCTGGCATGAGAGTAAATCTATTTTGTAAATCTCTGTACACAGGAGCAAATACCATTACCGACAAAGCACTTGAGTGCCTTAAAATAAATTGAGTGTTAACAAGGTGTGAAAGATTTAACTTACAGGGTTTTCCCCCTAAATTAGTTGAACATTATAGTAAATGTACTTTTCTTAAAACATGTACTTATTAAAAAAATAACAAAAACATGTACTTACAATGTATCAGTGTGAATTATACTTTGTGCAAATAATTAATATCTAGAGATATTCAAAATACCTACCTGAGTTATGCTTCTCATAATACTTTTGTTTACACATACACACAGATGAGAATGAGTTTTAAGTGATTGGCTTATTAGAGTCATCTCTTAATATTACCTAAAACATAAAAATTTTGTAGAAACAAAAACTAGTGTGTCCTTTATCTACTATCACTGGCTCTTTACTCCCGCATGTTGCAACATCAAGGAACACTTTATGCATCAGGCCTTCTTGGGAAGTAGTTTGACAGATGTCTGGTCCTTTAAATCTACTGAAAATCTCAGTGCATGTGTTAGAATTCATGTCAAAGAGATGAGAGCTAAGTTGGGCAATTTCTGATTTCTAAATTATAATATATGGCCATTACAACATAAAAATGGTCCTTATGATCAGGAGGCTTATTAACAGGACATCTATATAAAAGGTATGTAGATACAAGAGAAAATATGAAATACCGCTACATAATGTGAAAAGGGCAGAAAAAGAAGGAATCTCTTTCCTGGTATCACTCCACTCATTTATTCGTTAATTTATTCAACATTTAGTTTGTCCCTGTTCACCAAACATTTCATTTGCATTTTATTGGGAATATACAAAGATAAATAAGTATTTCTTCATCCCAAGAAACACAAATAAGTACTTATGAAATAATATAACTACAGAACTTATAAACTATTATAAACGCAGTGGTCAGACTATATGCAGGGTATAATGCAAACCTAGGATTTGCATAGTCCCAAATTCACACTGAAGACCATGATATTAGAGAAGGTTTTCAGGAGGGACTGTGGGGGTGGTGTGGTGAGTGGATTCTTAAAGGATGAGTAATTGTGAAGGAGGCACTGAACCCACCAGGACAGAGTAACTCAAAACATAGACACTGTTGGTGGGAAGAAACCATTCTTTTAACCACATTAACACAAACAAGGGAGTCAGAAGTAAAAGCTTTTTTTTTTTTTTCCAGTGAAAATTGTATTGAGATATTAGAGCAATATCTGATTAGAAAAGTCTAGCAAGTAGTTTGAAATGAGAAGGAAAATGCAATTGCATGTAGATTTAGGAGGCAGAAACAGTCACCTAATTTTCTTTCTTTCTCCATCCTTTTCTTATTGTCTGTCCCCCTGTTAAATGCTATGGCTTTTGAATTCTTTTCCTTTCCTTCTTACTTGGTACTGAGATGATTCTATAGGCACTCTCTTTGTGCAGGCTTTCACTCCTGAGCTTCTACCATGCGAATATTACCATTTGGATATTTCATGGGGACCTCAAAATACCATAATAATTTTGTAGGGATGTCAAACTAACATACTGACCAAAAAAGATTTTGGCAATCCCTGTACACCCCTCCAGTTCAAGCCTACGACTTCCTTAGATGCCTCTCACATGCTTTGTCAGCTTGGCCACCCAAGCCAAGAACACGAGAGTCATTCCCAATTCAACTTTTTCCATACTCTCCATCTGCAGTTAGTTACCTTTCCCTTCATTTTCTGGGCTGCTGTTTGAAATGATTCATACAACCTTTGTAGCAGCGATCACATTGTGGCTCCTGGTGATTTCACCCATGTCTGCTACTCCACCCATTTCTCTTTCTCTCAAGACTGTTAGTACTTAGAAAGCAGAGGCCATACCTTATTCATAGTGGACCCAACCCCTCATATCCAGCAAATATTTAGTGATCAATAAAGATTTGTTTAACTAAGCCCATGTAGTAGAAGGAACTGATTATAAGTAAAAAGCAGGATTATAAGGGAAGGTGTTTGAAAAATGCACTGTGAACGAATTAATGGTGGATCTGGTCAGAAAACGTTGGTCTGGGATTGTGTGTGTGTGTGTGTGTGTGTGTGTGTGATGTGCACAGGCATATATGCATGCACACATATACACACATGTGTGTTGGTCTATGTATGTGTGTTTTCCCCAACCACACTGCAGCTCAAGAACAGAAGAAGGATGGCAGGTGGTGATGTGAGTTAGGGCTACAGAGTGGCCTGGCTGATAGTGAAGACGTGTGTCAGTATACACATGGAACTGAGTGTAGCACAAGGGGATGGACAGGATGAAGCTGGAGGAGTTTAGGGGACAGTTGAGAAGACAGTGTGTTACATTGGATATGGAGACATGGGAGAGGATCCTGCTGCCCCTTAATCCTGGGGAAGGAGGACTGGTCCTTTTCCACAGAAGACAAGGCAGGAGCGACATCACAGACACTAGAGTCAGGATGTTGAGATTCTCTCTTTTTTTTTTTTTTTTTTTTTCACCCTCCCCACGATGTTGAGATTCTCATGGACTTCCCAGTTAGATGGATCAAGAGCCACCTCCACCTTGGGCAGTGAGAGATGGGAACTGGCCAACTTGGAGTGGAGGATGGCTTTATTTCCTTTCTGAACTAGAACTAACAGAGTAATAATCAAAGCCTAGCAGACTGTAAGCCCTGTGGTCTAGCACGGAGAAGCCAGCATGTCCTTAATGAACAGTCACCACGCTCTGGAGCAGCAGCAGTCAGCTCTGAGAGCACAGCTTCTGACACCAACACACTGAAAGAGTGAGAGCCCCATGCAGTGAGTCACAGTGTCTAACAGAGCTGATCCCCCCAGGCTCCTCCTTGTGAGTCAATATATGGGACTGGCTGGAGGCAAAGTCCCTGAACCAGATAGTGGAAGGAGATCCTTAACATTGTTCACAGGGCAGAGGAGAATTGGTGGGGGATGCTGCAATTGCAAAATGCTATTTGGCTCAGCCAGAAAACCAAAATTACCCACTCTTGGGTCTAAGTAGAGTACTGATGATGTCTTTTTTTTTTTTTTTTTTAAGATTTTATTTATTCACTTGACAGAGAGATAGAGAGCATAAGTAAGCAGAGCAGCAGGCAGAGGGAGAGAGAGAAGCAGGCTCTCTGCTGAGCAGGGAGCCCGATGGGGGACTCGATCCCAGGACCCTGGAATCAAGACCTGAGCCAAAGACAGCTGCTTAACCCACTGAACCACACAGGTGCCCCAAGTACTGATGATATCTTAAGAGATTTTTTCTTTTTTTTCTTTTTTTTAAGATCTTATTTATTTGATAGAGATAGAGAGATCAGAAGTAGGCAGAGAGAGAGAGGGAAGCAGGCTCCCCGCCAAGCAGAGAGCCCGATGCAGGGCTCAATCCCAGGACGCTGAAATCATGACCTGAGCCAAAGGCAGAGGCTTAACCCCCTGAGCCACCCAGGCGCCCCAAGAGATTTTTTTTTTTTTTTTTTAATGAATCACACTAGTTTTAAAATGTGATAGGACTATAATAATGCTGGATCACAGTGTGCCCAAAGAAGTGGTGTCTAGAAAGGCTCAGCAAGCCGCTGGTGTCCCATCAGAAGGCCCTCCCTCCCAATGACTAACGTCTGGAATCCTCTAGCTGAAGGTGCCCTTAGCCGTTACAGGCATCGTACTGCGAGGGCAGCATGTTAATCTCTCATTGGTCATTTACACGGTAACAGACACCACAGATTGAACAGGTATGCTCCACCTCCGAGTCTTGGAGCTCTCCATTCCCTTTCCCTAAAAGGTTCTGTTCTAGACCTGTACGGTGTTTACTCCCTCACTCTTTACTTTTTGTGCCCCGCAAATATGACCTTATCGATGAGGCCTTCTCCGAACACTCATTTACAAATCAAAATACTCCCAGCCCCAGAGCTCCCCATGCCCCTTCCCTGCTTCATTTTTTCTTCCTGGCATATTGCCATCTAAAGACTATGCATTTATATATTATCTGTTGCCATTTGCTAGAACGTAAACTCCGTAAGGGCTGTTCCGTAAGGGCTGGGAGTTTTCTCTGTGAACTGCTCTGTATCCAGCACCTAGAACTTTGCCTGAAACTTTGTAGGTCTTCAGTAAATATAAATTGAGTACATGCATGAATGAATAAGTGAGTACATCTTTGAGGTTATTTTGGAGGCTGGGGTGTGGGTGTGTGCATGCATATGTGGGTATGCCTTTAAAGTGAGAGTAAAGGAGAAAGAACAAGAGACAATTATATTCCTGGAAAGATGTCAGTAAATGTCCCCAAAATAAGGTGGACAAAAATCACTCTTCCTCACCATTTTTTAAAGGATGGACCTTGCTAAGGCTGGCTGAACAGGGTAAAGTGAAGTTCAGAGTCCAGTGGAGAACATTGCTGTGTTAAGACTCCCTTTCTTTCAGGAGTGACAAAGTGCAAAACCATAAACCATATGGAAAATCTCTTTCCTTCTGGAGGTGAACAAAGCAAGCTTCATTAACAGGAGTGTGACACTTGGGAACGTTGATTTTATCTACTCAACTACATTTTCTGGGTTTTTTGTTTTTTTATTTTTTTATTTTATTTTTTATTATTATTTTTTTTTAGTAGGCTCCACACCCAATGTGGGGCTTGAACTCAGAACCTTGAGCTCAAGAGTTGCACGCTCTACCCACTGAGCCAGCCAGGTGCCCCCCCACCAACTACAGTTTTTGAATAAAAAATTTCAGAATAAGTTTCTGGGCTTGGTTTTTACCCCAAGATTTGTTTGATTTGTTTATGGGAATTCTTGGAAAGATAAGGGAAATAGCCGTGGCTAGGAAGATGGGGGGGAGAGTATTTGGTATTTAACCGCAGCTCTGGACTGCAATCCATCCCCAGCATGACAGGACATGCCGGGCTTGCAGGCAGGCCTGGGAGTGTTTACTGAGGGTGTCAGGCAGAAACCATCACGCTAACTCAATGTGAGTAATGAGCCTACGGAGACACACAGGAAAAAACCCTCAGAAGACAGAGAAGACTATTGGTTTTTTGGCAGTTATTTCATTCTTTTGTACGTAGATCAGGGATGTTCTTATGTTTAAGGAAAAAGTGAAAGAGAAGCGATTCAGTAGTTTTGGAGAGCAAACTTGGAAGTATAACATCGGTTGTTAAAAATCTTTCCAAATTGTCGGGAGTGATAATTATAAGTACTCTAGTAGAGAGAAGCAGAATCTCAAAAACAGTGAACGATTTTCATTTTAATGGAAAAAAAAAAACAACAAGGATTGGAGGAAATGAAATTTCTTTTATTTACCTTTCAGAATTCATCTTGGTGATGGCGGTGTTTTATTTCAGCACCATACCAGTCGATGTAGTAATCTGTTAATAATCAAGCTCTGTAATTTGTGAATGGCTTACTTGTTAAAATGATTAGAGCACATCTAAAGTTATTCAGTAAGGATGTTACTTACTTGCATTTTGACATCCATCTCAGGTAGAGAGAGTTTATTCCCGCGGGAAGGCCTTTGCAGCCTTGAGGGGATCTTGTCCACAGGAGAATGTGAGCTTGTGAATGTCGTCTGTCACCTGTGTCATGGAGGAAAAAAAAAAATATGGGGAACCACTATTTTGGAACGCGTTTACATGAGCTGTACTGACTAAAAGTTATAATGTAATTCTTGAGTCCCAAATTATTTTTTGTGAATGGCAGATTATATCTGTGTAGTAACTTCACTTTTGTAACAAAAGTAATTGAAAATATCTTAATATGATAAATAATAATTTAATTAACTCAGGTACATCTATACACACTCAGGGAATTGGAGAGTTGAAGCGGTCTTTCAAATATAAGAAAAGAGATTCAAAATTTCTCTAGTGCCTGAGCATTTTAGGAAGATGTTCGTTTTTAAACCTGATTTGTTTGAGCTGTACTTTTTTTTTTTTTTTTTTTTTTTTGCTTTTTGTTTTTGTTTTGGCAGTGGACTGATTTTGAATTTCATCCCCCTCTCTAGTTCCCACATAGAGATTTTACTAGACAGAAATATGTTCAAATGCTAAGCAGACCAGTTAAGCAAAACATTGATACAAAGAAGGCAACGGGAAAAAATTTCTCTTGATAATTTAACTTTAAATATCACAGTGACCCTTACTAGCTTCTCTAAGCACATTTGTGGTTAAAGACTTTTTTTAATTCATAAAGATCATTATGAACATTACTATATGCCTTGAAAGCAGACCTCTTGTGTGACTGGGCAATTGTCTGCTAATTTACCATGACATTTTTTTTTTTTTCAGGTGGACCTCTCTTAACATTTACTGAAACAATATCTGAGTGATGTCATACCTTTTGGGAAAGTCACACCCGTTTCATGTAGACTCAGCTACAATAGAGGTAAGTCAGTCAACAAAGATTTCTTGTGACTAATTCTTCTCTGGGTATGAAAGAGGAAGAGAGTGTATCATCATACTTCTTTCTTAATTTTAGGATTAGAGCATTCATCTGAAGTAATCAGGACATTTGATGACAAGTCAACAAATTAAGCAGAGCAGTATTACAGGGAAGACTTAGAGGTGAACAAAGTAAAACCCATGTGAAAGCTCATGTTAAAGGATTGATTTATGGTTCATAAAAGTGCCATTCTGAGTTTCCATTGTTTGGCACTGTGGGAGAATCTGTCTACATGGTGGAATTTTCAGTAGTTGGAATCGTAAGTCTACAAAGTGTGGTTTATGTTTATTATACCTTCGATTTTCACCTCAGGAGTATGGATAAGCCATCTGAAACAAACAAAAAAAATCAGAGGAAGATTGGGGCTTCTAGGTTTTCAGGAATAATAAGATGGTGGGACGTCTATGGAACATGTCATTTACTTTTATTTCTTAGAGACTAGATGCTTGAGGTCTGTTTGTCAGAATGTGAAACCTGAGTCCCAGGTATGCTCTGTGACCCTACATGGACAGATGCCAAATATGTGATTGAGGGACCCTGGAAAGTGTTTATGCTTAAAACACCTCACCTCCTGACCTATGACCTAATGATAATGGAAATCACTTTGTTTTCTAAGTGAACAGATATTGAGTATTAAAGATATCTACTCCAAGGAGGAATAACAAAGTGCTGCTGTGATTGATACTTTATCTTGAATTAAATTACCAAAACAATTATCAGTTGTTTTATTAATTATTAATTATTTTATTAATTATTAAAAACTTAACTAGTTATGGTCAGTTTTTTAAAGGAAGCAGGAGGTAGTGATTCTCAAAACATTAGGCATAGCATGTTTGAGAAATAAGGTAAAAAAACATGCAAAGGAAAACAAATTTCATTTCCTTCAATTTGATTTTGGGTCAACTAGTTTTTGCAAATGAAACTCTTTTTCATGTGGCTAGCAACTTGGCACCATATATCATAGAAACTGAATATAAAGTGTGGTCTCTTCTGTGTGTGTTGTAATTGCTATTCTATGGATAGCAATATGGATATGGATACTACAGAAGGTTGGGTTAAGACCATCATTCCTTTCACGCTAATTTTCAAGTAACTTTTTTCCCCCAAAGCCACCTGGCTGCCCTATTCTACTTGGTGGAAATGATGTAATGATAAGTCTTAGAGGTCTTAGAGGGCTCTCTGGGTCTAACTCTTGATCTTAGCTCAGGTCTTGATCTCAGGGTCCTGAGTTTGAGCTCTGCCTTGGGTTTCACGCTGGGTGTGGTGACTACTGAAAAAACAAAAAAAACAAAAAACCTCTTAGCAGGAAAAACCTCTCCATCTGCCCTTTCCAAGGAAGCCCAACTGAAAACTTATAATCATCTGGTGATTTTCATCATTTTGGCTATCTAAGATAACAATTTGGTATGAATAAATTCATCTCTCTTTGCTTGTGTGTTCAAAGGAGTTTCTAGTGTGGAGTGGCCTCTGTGAATGAGGCAAAAGATTAGTGAAAAAGAAATATTGTAGTGGCAGTTTGGAGTTGCAGGAAGAGAATTAACCTAGTCAATTCCCAACTCTGCCCTTGATAAACAAGTTGCTTTTCAGCATGTTTGAACATCTGTAAAACAAGGTTTTGGATCAGATAATGTAGATGTTTTGAGTTTGTATAGTTTTAATACTTTGCATGTCAGTACTCTTAACTCTAAGTTGAGTTCATTTTGAAGATTTAAATTATAATGATAAAAACAATAAAAAATAATCTTTATGAGCACTTACTCTGTACTAAGTGCACGCTTGTAACCTCTTTACAAAAACCTCCTGATGTAGGTAAGGACTATTATTTCCATAATAATACTCCAGGGAGGTGCAGAGTGATTAAGTAACGTGCCCAAGAACACACAGCTAGTAAGTGGTGAAGCTAGGGTTTGAACTCAAATAGTTGTCTCCAAAGCTTGACCTCTTAACTGTTAACTTAAAATACACAATTAAAAAAAAAACCACATTAAAAAAATTCAAATTTATCTTTTGTTAATCATTAAAACATAATACGGTTGTTTTGATCTACTAATAGATAGAATGACATTTTATAATTTTCTCATGGGCCCTGGAGTAGTAGCTTTGATTTTGTGCAAAGTTTAGCAGGCTTTCTTTGCCCAACAAATCCATGTTTCCTATCAAAATATTCAACAACATCTCCTGACTTGTTCTTTCAATGGAGACATCCTTTCCCAGCCAGAGCGGGCAGAAGTAGCAAGAACATGTGTTGGCTTGTTCTGGAGGCTTTGGTGTGAAATAGGTTTGCATAGAATAGAAGAGCTTCTATCATCTTGCCAGCAAATGTCTTTGTTGCTGGTTTGCCTCTTTGAAAGAATTTCCAAAGATCAGTACAACAGACCCTTCTGTTGCAGAGTCTGAGAAAATGTAAGGAGGAAGAGTGGCGAGTTAGAAAATAAACTTATATTTCAACTGTAGCAACCATAATTTGTGAGGAAAAATTAATAGCAATTTATAACAGCTGAGAGGAAGAGGGAAGATGCAGGAAGGAATATTGTCAGAACTTATTAGACTGTTTATTACATATTAAATTTTTTGTCATATAAGAAGTTGTATATAATGAATGTGTATAACTTGATGAGTTTGGTGGTAAGAATATACCTATGAAACCATCACCATGGTCTATGCCATGAAACTATTCATTCCCTCCAAAAGTTTCCTCCCTCTCTCTTATTTATCATTATTATTCTTATTATTAATGACAAGAAGACTGAATACAAGATTTACCCTTTTAGCAAAATTTAGGTATACAATACATTATTGCTAACTATAGGTTCTATGATATATAGTAGATATCTCGGAGTTATTCATCTTATCTAAATGAAACTTCGTGCTCTTTGACTAATACTTCCACTTCCTATGACACAGTTGCCTACTAATCTAAAGTTGAGGATGTCAGCCCTACATGAGAATAATTAATAAGAGTTTGGTCAAACAAGGTCTTTTCATTATGCTTTACCTGAAGAAAAATTAAGTGGAAAATCTAGGTGATTCTTTTCTTTTTAATAATAAATCTGGAGACCAGACTCTGCATGCAGAAACTTTCTATCTGCAACACAAACCAAGCGTCACTGTCTGTTCCATGGGTCTGATGATGGAAAGACACTGCTTCAGCTACACCAAGCTACTTGCTTACCTGAGGGTATGTGTGTGTGTGTGTGTGTGTGTGTGTGTGTGTGTGTGTTACCCCCAGGTTAGGACCACATAATTCTTACTATCAACATGGTCAGTTGGACGTGGGAAGACATGACTGAAGTTAATCTTACTTTTTGTGTTTAAATACTCATTTTTGGCTTAGTTACAATGCCTTTTTGCAGGAGTGGAAACCATGTCATTATCCCATTTAAATAAATACAAGATTACCTGATTCTGTGCTGCTTTATAATTAAGAGAGTTCTTTGCAATCCTCTTTTGGTTATGAAAGAATATAAATACTTCCTTTGCCTTCTGAGGAAAGGAAGACATACAAGTTCTTTCAATCTGAGTGTTTTGCTTATATTAGAATTTCATACTCTGTGTTTTCACACAACTTTTACTGTTTGCTAACTTAATAATGACAAATTCAGTGCACAGAAAACATCAGAGATGTTCCAAGGCATAAACTTAAAAATATGATGGTACTTCATGAAATATATGTGGAAGGGGAGATAGCATTGAGGCGTAAATAGTACTTGTAGTTGTTCAGTTGTGTTGTTTTCTACAAATCATGGAAACACTGAGGTGGGAGGACCCATTTAGAGTTATCATATAAAAAAATGAAATGGAATAAAACAAAAATCAGGGTCTTAGATACAGAGAACAGACTGGTGATTGCCAAAGGTGGGGCATGGGAGGTGGGGAAAATGGGTGAAAGGGTTCAAAAAGTACAAACTTGGTTATAAATAAGTCACGGGGATATAATATACAGCACGGTCACTATCGTTAATAATACTGAATTGCATATTTGAAAGTTGTGAAGAGGGTAGATCTTACAAGTCCATATCACAAGAAAAAAATTTTTTATAACTATGTATGGTGATGGATGTTACCTAGACTTACTGTGTTGATCATTTCTCAATATGTATTAATGTTGAATCAGAATCTCTCCATATAAAGTTACTTTTACATCTAGCTACATGTCACACATGACCTCTTCTAAATAGTGTGTTATCAAAGTAATCCTTAAGGAGTTGACCAGAAAAGAGATTCCATGACTTTCGGGTAGTTTGTTTTCCTTATTAAATGTGGAAGAGATGTTTATTGTGCCCTGAAAAATAAACTCACATATACTTCAGAATAGCAGCAAATCATGTACTTGTTTCTTTCTATTCATTCCTTTGTCTCTACCCTTTTCTCTATCTCTCAATCTTAGATACATATAGAAATATATAGATTGCCCTGTCCTCTATGTCCAAATAGATATATTTGTCTACAATGTACTGCTTCTTTAACCTTTAGAATTATATCTAGATTTCTGGTCTTTAAAAAATTATTTTCATTGTTTTCTTTGTATTTCCAATTTTTCATGCTCTACTCAAGTCTTAGGGCTGAAAGCAAGCAGATTATTTTGACAGAGTAATAGTTATATATTATTATTGCTTTCTATTGTGAATAACTGTAGATAAACCTTTACATTTATGTCACTTTATTGAATGACTTTGAGGTAGTAATTTGCTTCTCTGGATCTCTGTTTTCCTCATTATAATTAGAGTTACTGTAGGAATTAAATTAGAATATGTAACTAACGGTCTTGGCCAGCTGGTGAGGCTTACCAGTGTCTAGTTTCTTCCTGCTCTGGTAACTGTATCCATTTGCACTTGTTCTTTTAGACCATTATTCTCTTGAGTTTTAACTGTATCTGCATTGTGTTTAGATTATTCTGTTTTGCATTTGTTGAAAAGAAAGTCTATGTATAAAAGAAAAAGAAA